AGCCCCTGGCAGCGCCTCCAAAAGCTTTTACAGGGAGAAGATGGAGGCAGAGAGGGCTAAGGGGAGAAAATGAGGAAAAAAGGAAGACGTGAACACTAAAAGAGTGCAGCAGGACATAGAGTGGAGATCCCACACCAGGGAGAACCTTGTCAAAAACATCTGGAAACATCATAGTTCTTGTTTCTGAAGGACTTTTGTATGTGGTGGAATCCTGGGATTTGGTGTTTTCACGTGGCTGTTCAGATTTCTCACTAAATTTCATCTCGAGTGATCAGATTGCATTCATATGACTCTAAATAGGGCTGAGGGAACTGAAAATGTTTTCTCTCAAAGCACTTTCAGAGGTGGTCTGGACCCCCACGAGTTTGGAAGTCTGAACACAGTCCGTCCAGAGCCCCACTGCGGGACCTCCTACTGGACCGATGTGACCCCACACAGACAGCAGAGGGTTTACCTGGACATCTGTCCTCTAGAATATTCAGACATTACCAGCTTTATGTTGATTGATGTATTTATTGGGGACTGCCTAGTACAAAGCAGACACCTGTTATTATCCACCTGACAAGGGTTTCTTAACTTTATATCTTACTCTTCTGTCAACTTTAATGTGTCCCGAACCGCACCGTGCACCCCCACAAATGTTATATCAAAACGACCGGCTCGGCACAGTGATGTGTGCTGTTACTTTTATTGGCATTTCGAGTTACCATGGTGACATCATTTGCAAACAAAGCCGCCATTTTTATTAGTCAATTTTCATAGACTCTGGTTGCAAATCAAACATCCAAGATGACCACCTGAGCTCAAAAGGAAAAATACTGTAAATCAGCCATTTTTAGAGATATGCTGAAATTTTGGTGTGGCAAATGCCCAATAAATAGAGTTAAATAAAATTCAAGATGGCTGCCAAAGCTCAATTTAAAGGCTTCAGCTCAGCTATTTTTACACATGGAGCTGAAATTTGGTGTGAAACCTTCCAGATGAAACACTGAACCCAAATCAACAATCCAAGATGATTTTTTTGTTGCCATTTTAAGTTGAATTGTGATCTGGTGGTAACTGAGAGCGAACCCCAACACACAATACCGTCACATCAAAAATTAAAAATGGCCGCCACGTGGCAGTCCCCATCAAAGTTTCTCCAGGAACTTTCTAGTTTTAGGTTAAAGGAACCAGTTATTGTTTGATTTGTCAGGATTTTATTTACAGGAAGTCGTTTGGACGTTTTTATTTGGTTTGTTCGTTCTGATTGTTTTTGGACGTCCTGAGACGGTCACAGAAGAATCTGAGCAGCGTCATATGCACAAATTTAAACAACTAAAAAGGTTAATGACGTCTGTAAAACGTTTCGAGGGACTCAAGCTCAAAGTCGACCCAGAGACGAATCAGAAGAGAAATGTGAACAGCCTCCGAGCGTTCGGTGTCGTGTGGGCTTCTCACCCTGTGAAGAGGCTCAGAGGTCTCCTCCACCTTCACCTCCGTCCTGGGCAGCAGGTCGAGCACCTGCACCTGACTGTCCCCCGTCTTATTAAAGCTAAGTATGAGGTTGACTGCGCCCCCCGTGGTGGGGCTGCTGCCCCCCTTCAGCACCGTCACGTTCACTTTGGGAGACTCGACCCGAGGTCCAATCCTGTTCATGATCTCATACCCGTCCTCCGACCGCCTGTCCTCGTGCTGCTCAGGCACCGAGGACGAGGAGCGTCTCTCTGTGGACGGACTTGTTGGGTTTTCACAAACGCTGGCAGCTTCTGACTGGGGGGGCTGGAGATCCTGGAGCTCAGGTGGTGGAGTCTTTGTAGGATGGAAAAAACAAAAAAAACACAAAGTTTAACTGAAATTCTTCACAATCCGTCTCCTCATCGAAGACTTTCAGCTCTGATTGGTGTAAAGTAGAGGGTGTTCACCCTTTTTTGGGGGTGTGGGGTGTGTGTGTGTGTGTGTGTGTGGGGGGGGGCATTAACACCTTAAGAAACGCTGAGTTCATGGATCAATGTGTGTTTAGCTGCCACAGAAAACCACAGAAATACACTGCAGTGTTATTCTTCATGAATTTACTTTATTCATTCAGCCCAAGCAGGGTGGTAGAAAGCCCCCCCACCCCCCACCCCCCAGTCGGTGAGCTTTCCAACAGCACAAAGGCGTCGCACAACCAGGAAGTGACAAAAGATTTCAGTTAACCACGGTTTCTTACAAAAAGACCAGTGAAGCACAAAGGATGCGCAACAGAAATTCTCTAAAGCTGTAGTTTGGCTTTCTCTGGGTTGGGTTGTGTAAAAGGCTTATGAATAGTGAGTATCTTACCTGCAGTGTACAACATTCAAGCAGGAAATATGTTGAGTGCGTTAAACAAACCAAGACTTTCAGAACGGGAAACACAAAATAGCAGATTTTAATGCTCTCACAAAGAAAATTCAAAACACCAAAATTTTAATAGAAGCAAACGTGTTTTTTAATAATCTTATTTTTTTCTACATAGTATCCGTTAACAATAGAAAGTATTATGAGCTGTGATGCAACGTGGCTATCCTTTGATTGAGAAAATATAGTGAATTTGCTTGGTTCCAAAGTGGCGCTAACCTTTTTAATGTTTATACAGTTCAATTCAGTTTTTTTATAAAGCGCCAAGTTGAGGTCATCTCAGGACACCGAACACAAACAATTAGCTTGTCTTGTAAGTACGATTCAAAATCTTACTTCTAACCTACAAAGCCCTCAACAACCTAGCTCCATTTTATATTACAGATCTTATAGTTCCCTACTTTCTTAAGAGACCGCTTTGCTCTCAGACTGCAGGTTTACTTGT